CTCTTTCAAGTACTTGAAAACAACTATCATATAGCTCAGTCTGTTCTCTAGGCTAAATTTTGCCCATTCGTTTGAATTTTCCTTAAAGTACCACAGCTTTGTTTTGCTGAAGAAGGAATTACTTCTTAAAGTTCATGTAAATCACTTAGTATATCAGTAGGGAATGAACTCTGAGGTCGATTTCTCTCTTTGAAAGTGTGGTTGCACTTGAGAGTATTGTAGTAATATCTAATGTGGACCGTGCCCCTCTCCCTGTAGCAGTGCCGTAGACCTAACTCTGGGGCATAGTTATGCTGGGAAGATGCCTCTTGTTTGGAGTCAAGAGTCAAAGCAGCATTTGGGGACTCGTTGGACTGTGCGGGTATTGGGTGAAGTATGCAGTGCCATGGCTCGTAGGAACTGGATCTCAGATTAGTTGGAGTTCAGGGATCTGTTTGAGATGTTTTTATTCCCATATCTTTTTTCTTTGTAACCTTTTTTTCCCCCTTTTAATTCACTGTTGTGCATGTGTGCTCATAGGAGAGAGACAGAAAGAGAGAAAAGTGAAACATGCCATGCCCTCCTGTTCCATTCTTCTCTTGGGATTTTGGGCATGCCCATACACGTGCCCAGCATGTTTTTTCAAGCCACTGGGTCTGGGACATGAACCACACAGTTGGCCCTGTGGGATTCACCTGCCTTAACCATCATGCACCTGCTGACCCCCATATCTTTTTTTTTTCACACTTACCTTTTTCCTCTGAAGTTTCTCTTTATGACTTTATTTTCAGTTTTTATAATTTTGAATGTTGAGTTCTTAGTAGGAATGGTATTGTGTAAAGCTGCAAATACTAAAGTAACTCAAAAAGATTTGAAGTAGTTCTCTTCAAATCTTCAGTATAAGTCAGCTGTCCCTATCATAATAGAAGTTCGTTTTTTAATATTTACTATAAATTTATGTATATTTAATGTTTTATTTATGTTTATGTTTATAAATGATGAACCGTAGTCACTGAAAGGCTAAATAATTTGTCATGTAATAAAGAAAGTTAGGAGCAAAACAGATTGGAAACCTGAGATTTAAATCTCAGTTTGTTACATAACGTACACTGACTTACTTCATACCACATAATAATCAGCAATATACAAAACTAACTGTTGTCCATAAGTTGGGTACTTGTGGTAGTTTCTAATATGTTGCTTTGTGAATGAGTAGTATTAATCTACTTAGTTTTAATTCTTGCCTTTCTGGTTATTTGTTTTGGAAAGAACAATAAAATTTTTCTAGTCACATAGCAATTTGGAGCATATGTCAAGACTACCAGTGGTTAACTTGCATTATAGTTAGATTAGATGCTTCTAGGACTCTGGGTGTCCTTTAGCATTTTTACTTGTAGAATATGGCAATATAATCTGTAGTAAAAATCCTTGCTCACCTCATTTTCATTTCAGTGTTCTTACCCTTGTGGATATTGTGATGAGCTGTTAAATTGCAAGTCATTGGCTAGCATTTAGACCTTTCATGGATCCAGAATATTACAGTTTTTATATGTGATCTGCATATGGGTTTGGTTTTGCTTAGCTTTGCTTTGATTTTAGAGCACATGGACTCACCAGAGAGAGACAGAATGAGAAAGCACCCTCTCCAGGGGGCAGGGCTGTACCCCAGTCCCTTTTCCTTCATTCTCCTCTCAAGATATTGGGTGTGTACATGCACACACACACACACACACACACACACACACACACACATCCGGTACATTTCCCAAGCCTCTGGGTCTGGGACTTGAACCATGCAGTTGCCATGTAGGATTCAGCTGCCTTAAGTGGTATGCCACCAGCTGGCCCTCGGGTTTTTATAGCAGGCAAGTAGGAGCCATATATGGAAGCTATAGCACCTACATGTCTCTCTCAGATCCTTTTAGGAAATAGATGGTATCTAAACAAGCTGACAACAGCAGCCCTACGCATTCTGAGTGTTTCTCTTCCTCACATCAGGAATTTCCTCCGAAGTTCTATGCATAATCGTTGGTCAGTGATAACCAGTGCAGCATCCTTTTAAAAACTGTAAATATCCAGTCATGGCACCTTACTAACCTCATTGAAAGGTTCTGCCACACACCCCCCACCCCCATGGATTGATTGATTACTTTACTTGTGGGCCCAGCAGATGGCATGGTGGCTAGGGTGCTGGACTCCCACATAGCTGACTGCAGTTCGAGTCCCGGACCGGGTGGCTTGCTTTCTTACTTTGTTTCTCGCTGGATCTGGGCAAATAAATAAAATAATTAATTCTTTAAAAAAATAATTTATTTGTAAGTTAAAGGTGTGGGCACCCAGATGTGGGGACTAGGTTGTTGAGATTTTGATGATTTCTTGATACAGATAACTTAATGGTTTTCATTTTCATGTTCTTACTTAGCTTCAGAATGTGCTTTAAAAATGATTTTTGAATGTGGATATGTGGTATCTAAAGGGAATTCTCCATTTTATGATCGTTTATGGAGTGAAATACTTGCACATATTATGTCTTTGCCTGATGAGCATTTTTGTATTGATTTCTATCTTGAGACTAATTAGAAGACTACTTTGACAGACCAACTTTGCAAAATTAATTATATTTACATTTGAAGGGAAAAATTTAGTGACAGAGATTGATCAGGCATTATAACAACTAAAAAGCCAAGTCAGCTCTTTTCTAAAGATCAGAAATTGCTTCTGTAGGAATATTTACCTTGTATTTTGGCTTCTCTTTTAGTTATAAATATAATTGTATTTTATGGCATTATTACAAATAATCCTTTTGTTTTTTATACCAAACATTCTCGGGAGAGAGATACTCCTGACAAAGATATTTATTAGCATTTCAGAGGTTCATGTCTTCATGGAATAATTTACATATATAAAAAATAATCCTTTTTTTAAAAGAATTATTTTATTTAACTTTGTTTTAATTTGACTGGAGAAGGGCAGAGAGAAAGAGAGGAAAAGAGAGAGAGACAGAGAGAGAGAAAGTGAGAAAGCAAACTGCCAGGTTTGGGACTCTAACCACAGTCAGCTCTGTGGGAGTCCAGTGCCCTTAACCACCATGCCACCTGCCAGCCCCTAAAATCCATAATCTTAAATCAGTAAATTAGATTTCATCAAAATTAAAGCCTCCTATTCTTTGAAACGCACCATCAGGAAAATCAAATGGCAAGCTACACCGGAGAGAGCATATTCTGACAAAGGACTTGTATTCAGAACTTAAAACAAACCACTAATGATTCAAAAGAAGACAGCGACTTCAAATATGAGGGGTTGAACAGGTGTTTCATAAAAGATAAACAAATGGTCAAAGAACACATGAGATATTCAGCATCATTAGCAGGGGAATGCAGTTTAAAGTCATTTCTTTCACTGTAGACACTAAAACGTAATCTGTAATGATAGAAATCAGATCATTGGTTACCTGTTACAGTATGGTGGGGGCAAGTGTAGAGGGGTATGGGGGAGCTTTTGGCTGAAACAGAAATGTTTTCTCTTATTTTTTTAAGGTTTTTACCATAGGGTACATGTACTCTCTGGAGTGAAACAGACATTGAGAGGGAAAGTACTAAATCATCCCCAAGAGGGGATGGCCATGCTGCAATCCCTTCTCCATTTTCCTCCTGGGATTTAGGGCATGTCTCATACACATGCCCAGCATGATTTTCAAGTTGCCAGGTTCGGGACTCAAACTGCTATCAGCCATATGGGAGTCCAGTGCTATAACTACTATACCACCTGCCGGCCCCAATGTTTTTTATAGTTTAAAATTTTTATTTATTTATTTTTACTAACCAGAGGGGCACATGTATTCACCAGAAAGAGACAAAGAGACAGAGAGGGAGAAAACACTCCCCAGTTAGGCATGGTCACATCACAATCCCTTCTTCGCCATTTCTCCATCCTGTTTGGATTTTAGGCACATAGACACAGTGTCTGGTGTGTTTTTCAAGCTGCTGAAGCTGAACTTTGAACTGCGGTCAGCCGTGTGGGTTCTGACTCTCTTAACCACTAGGTTATGGGTCCGCTCAGAAATGATTACTATCTTGATTGGTGTAGAGAAGGCACAGGTGTGTAAATTTATCATGCCACATGGACAAGGATGGCAAAATTAAAAAGAGCATTCATATCAACACGTGGAGCAACAGGAAATCTCACACCTTGCTGGTAGGATTATGAAATGGTAAAATCACTCTAGAACACAGTTTGATAGTGTCTCGTAAATTAAACATTTGCCTACTTTTTAATTCAGTAGTTCCATTCTCAGTTACTTACTCAGAGGATTTGAAAGCACATATCTAGAAAAAGCCTTTTCTGAAAATGTTCAGGGCTAGCTTTGTGGCACAGTGGTAATAAGCTGCTCAAGAGAAGCCAGATCCCAGATTTGAACTGTGGTCTCCACAGTCAACCTGAATCATGCAGGGCATGCATACTAGTATCTCAGATCTGATGGGCTAGAGACCCAGAAGAAGGAAATTTCAGGATGAGCAGACCCCATGGAGGGTACTCATTTCCCACCACCCCCAACATTGTCTTACTCTCATGTTGTATGCCTGTACTGTATCATGAATAAAGAAAAAAATGTACAAAGCAGCTTTTTAAAGAATTACTTATCTATTTTTTTGTTATTGTTATTTTTTTAATTTGACCAAAAAGAGAGAAAGAGAAAGTGAAAAAGCAATTTG